CCCCCCCCCCCCCCCCCCCCCAGCATTAATCAGGCTTCCTTGACAATTTCCCAGTACCCATTTATACCCCTGGGTGGAGAGAGGTAATGTGAAAGTAAAGAATTTTGCCAAAGAACACATCACATTGATCCGATCAAGTCTCAAACCCAGAAGTTTCGACCCGGAGTCTAGTGAACTGGACATAAGATCACGGCTCTCACGTATACATAGCCCAACCCACAAAACTATTAAGAGCGCAAGGCAATTAATACAAATTTAAACATAATTCTTCGTCATACCAAGAACTCTAGCGATAATCAGCTCCATCAAACGGTTAGGTTGTTCATCTTCATCAATAAGAACCACATTATCCTCGTTGCTTGTAAGGACGCCCAGTTCATTACTGTCAACTTGATCTCCTACACCAACAGGAATAACAACGATTCCAGACTCCTCCAAATAAACTGCTCCTTCTCTTATCTCGTCTTCATCCTCACCAGACCTCCCGTCCGTCAAAATGACGAGGACATGCGTAGCACCCTTGCGAACGCCACTGTCTTTGAATGTCTCCTTAGCAGATTCGATGACCTCTATGAAAGACAACCCTCCCGTGGCGGAGGGCAAAGCGTCAACGGAGGCCTCCAATTCGTCGATGGTGGAATACTTTTCGCTGAATCGTACAAAGATATTGGATGTGTTCGAGAACACAATGAAGCTGTATCTAAAGCTCCCTGTACCGTACTTGTCAGCAACGGTTTTCAGTGTATCTTTCATGAGCTTGAAAATTTTCTCTCTGGATAATCCTGTAGCACTGAGAGCGAAGGCGATATCAACTGGCGGGAACTTGCCTTAAAAAAGAAATAAAATAATACGTCAGTATTCGTCATTTAGAGCAATTTTCAAGTGTCGAAAGATATTCGGGATTGCTTTGGTTTTGCTCTAGTTCGTTATGTGATTGGTCCAGAAAACTCATGAAAATGTCTCAACTAATCAGATTCAACCAATCGCGACTTGGTCAATGGAGTTTTCCCGCGCTTCCGCTTCATTGGCTCCTGGTGATATTTTCCTTGTTATATGGGCTAATTTGATACCTTTGGTTTTGGCTGTACGACACTCTATCGAAAAGCGCTCTATTTCTCTTCAGTCCGATTGGTCTCGAAACGTCACGTGCCCTAATAAGATCCTAGAATAACAAAGAGACCTCATCCAAATGAAAGATCCTTTTTATATTTTATTCTATTTACCTTTTCTCACTTTTTTCGATTTCAAGGCGCTATTTCGTATTCATGCAACAGCATATTTTACCACCATTAATCCGTTTTACAAATTGGCCAGAGTAGATTTTCCGGATTTGCATAGCGGTTTTCAATTCAGTTTTCTACATTGGTTTTGCTGGGAAACTCCTACTTCGCTCCCAACTAAATGGATAAAAATCGTTGCCGGGTTGCTTAAAAATGAGTTCATGCTTGCTCTTTAAGTTGCATACTTTTGAGCTGGTTGGTTGTTTAATGTATGTGTAGTATCGTATTTTCAGGTATATGACACTCAGTCGAAAAGCACATGCATAATCGTTTACGTTTCAACTTACATCTGGTAACATGTTCCATAAGCTGTTTTCCTAGTGTTCGTGGTTTTTCAGATCTAGGCACTTCAATGACAAGACCATCTGGATTGGTCAACTCCAATTGGGATGAATCGTCCTCAAAACCCACAGCTACTGGAATGACCTTTACTTCTCTCTCGTCAAGAGGTGCGGCAGCTTCACTGATTTCAGGCGCACTGCTTCTAAACGCTTTGTCTGTCATTATCACTACCACTTTGCATGCATCAGGTCTTGCATTCTCAGAGTCGAACACCTCTTCGGCCTTCTTTAGAGCTCCAATGATATTGGATCTTCCAGGTTGCATGCGAAGAAGCTTAACAAATTCTATCAGATTATTTGGAGTTCTGGTGCTACTATCAAAGTCCAGTTCGGTCTTTGCATTGGCGCCAAACACGATGAGGGCATAACGCAACTTTTCTGTTCCATATTTGCCAATTATCCAGGCTATTGTTTCCTTCATTAATCTGAATGTCTGTCCGTTTCCTAAGGAGTCGGCACTCAGTACAAAGGCAACGTCAATTTCCGTTGAAACCGGTGGGGGATCTACGTGTGAGAAAATAAAGTTTTGCAGTTCTTGTCAGTCTGAATCAGAAAGTTACGATCTTGTAAACATTTCGAGGACGGATTCATAAGAAAGGTTTCCAACGACACTAAGAAAAATTTTTAGTTTCCAAAGTATTTCGGTACTGCGGTGGATTTGGTTTATCAAACTCTGTCACCAGTCTCGCCGTTTCTAAAAAATGGTAATGTTGCGTCGTTGTAGGTGGTAGATCGAGATCATTTGGGTTTATAAACTGAGTTGATAATGTTAATTGGAAACCGTAAAAAGCTTCTAGAGCTGAACTTTCGAGCATTAGACCTTCGTGCTCCAAATATCAGCTTTCAAAACTCTTTACTGGGGCAAATGTACATCATAAACACAGTTGATAAAGCCAAATTCTCTCAACCATTCTGATTTGTACCTTAATTCTACTGCAAAATGGTTACTCACACTTTTCCTATGCCTTTGAAAACTCTTTACTGCGGTAAATTTACATCATCAACGCATTTGATAAAACCAAATTCTCTCAACCACTCACATTCGACGCTAAATCCCACTGCAAAATGGTTACTCGCACTTTTCCTGTGCCTTTGAAAACTCTTTACGGTGGTAAATTAACATCATCAACACATTTGATGAAACCAAATTCTCTCAACCATTCACATTCAAAGCTAAATCCCACTGCAAAATTGTTACTCACACCTTTTCTGTGCCTTTAGAAACTTACGCGTATGAATTCTCATTGGCACTTGATATTCACCCTGCTTCTTATTAGCCGTTGTGATACCTTTGAATTTAGTCACCTGATACGTTAAGTCTTATGTGTTCTTAGGGAAAAGTTCAACAATAAAAAAATTATCAACCTGTCCCCCTTGCTATCTCGGAGGCGCGGGTTTAAATCCCCCCGAACCCTGAATTTTTTCAAGCTTCTTGCCTACAATTCCCAACATTGCAGCTCACCCTCGAGAAACATTGTTTTACTTGATTTTCAGCCGCAGGTGAAATGAAATTTTTATTTCATTAAAAATTATAATACAAAACTAACCTGTGAGGATGAGCCTTAGGATTTCTGCGGAAAGCTTGTCAGGATTTTCATCAGTTGGTGAATCTATAATATTCCCAGTATGTGGTGTAATGTAAGCTAACTCCTTCGCATCAGCTTCCACTCCAATGGATACAGCGATGATCTCCACTTCTTCGTTTTCTAGAACAGTAGCAGAAGACCTTAGCGCACTTTCTTCAGCACCCGAACTCTTGTCTGTGAACACGACAAGAACCTTTTTGGCATCCTTCCGTGCGCCTACTCCGTCAAACATCTTTTTGGTGTCGTTCAGAGCTTTGACGAGTGCGAGTGGAGGAACGCCTGCAAAGGATATTTCAATAAAAAAAGTCACACTTATTTTTTTAGGAGGGTAAGAATTACATATCAAGTCTATTTTGCAACCTTAGATTTGACCCGACGAAATAAACGATTTTAGTATATAATAAAACAATGGATGGTGTTGAAGGCTTATTATCATAATATCCACCACTAGCCACCTTCACTTCGGTGAATAGTTTTAAATATTCTGTACAGTTTACTGTACAGAATATTGTACAGTATATATTCTGTACTGTAGAGTTTACCATAGTGTCACCTAGATTGCTAATCAGAGCGCGCGTAGGGTCTAAGTTGTTTTATCAAACTTTAAGAATATTACCTTTCGGTTTGGGCAGATTATCAATATACTGTTTCACTTCAGCTTCAGGCACCATCTTGTTGGAAAATTCCAATAGCCTTTCGGCTGATCGTCCATAGAGGATAATACCGTAGTGGATTTTAGAAGTTCCATACTTGTCCACCAAGGATTTAACAGCATCCTTCATGAGTTTAAAAGTCTCGTCTGAAGTTGAAGATACTGGACACATGGCAAACACAAGATCGATGTCTTGTATAGGCACCGACACAGCTAAATAAATAAAGACGAAAAAATCAGGCTCATGCATAAATGGAAGCGCAGCGGAAACATCATTATTCGCGTGTAAAGTATAATATACAGTTTGAACTGGCTAATGTAGAGAAGAAAGCCAAAAGCAAACAAAGAAACTAATTTCAGAGCTAGTAGACTTAATATCTTCCACTCACATACCCAGGGTCCCGCTGGTAAGACTAAAAATATGCAGGCTTCGACGGGATTCGAACCTGTGCATCCCAGTATTCAGTTGGGTGCCACTACCGACTGAGTTCCGAACCCACATGGCAGAAGTGAGGTAATTATATCACAGCGCTCAAACGTCTGCGCATGTACTATTGTTGCAATGACTAGGTGGCACGCTTTCAAGCTGTCTGAACCAAGTTGTCTCACACAAGTTATTACAAACAACCACAAAAGCCAACAAGTCACGTTGTTTTAAAAGCTTAGAACGTTTTCGGTAAAGCTCAAACTAGAATGGTAAATCAACAGGATACCCATACTTCCATAAGCTTTGTGTTAAGAAAGTTTCGAGTTTTCCTTTTCCCTGTTTCTCTTTCCTTGCATAGATTTCTATGAACGTTTCAATCTTTTTTCGTTTATTTTGCAAGACGGCGGTTGCTTATTATATTTTCCTTTGAAAATTCGCGCGGGAAATTGGCATGCCGCCACCCTGCATTGATGCCCTAGCGCATGCCCGACGTTTGACCGCTGTGTTGGCAATTGCGCAAGGTACTTTGTATCTTGCAGGGGAATCTGATCACAATCATTTCAAGCAGTATTTGTGAGAAGTTTTATCTCATGCAACATCAAATAAGTGTCATTTTCTCACGTTCAAAAGCTTTTTCCATGATTCTGTTCCCTAAAGAGGCTGGATTGGAATCGGAGGGTCCTGTAATTACATCTCCCTTCCTCTGAGTAATTTCCTCCAGTTGTTTGGAGTCCGGCACACTTCCAATACCAACAGCAATAACGTGAATGCCTTTATCTTCTAATGGTTTGGCTGCTGTCCTGAGCTGTTCATCTGTGGACCCGGAACGACCATCAGTGATCACCACAACAACCTAAAAAAAAAGGAGAGGGAGTCAATCGGCGGAAAAAAATACATTATGTCACGCTTTCAGTAGTGCTCTTGTGTCACGCTTGAGGTCACGCCAAGTCTGAAGGAGCTTCAAAGTGGCTTCATGGCGCTACGCGACTTTCTTTCAAAACTCGAGTGAACTTCTCAATCATTTTGCTGCAAACCTTTTCACTAACTTGTTATTGAAATTTCTTTAGTTTTGGTTTAAAAACATTCGCACAAAAAGCGAACTTCCGAGGAAAAAAAATTCTTACAATGAAGATTTATGAGAGCTGCAAGCTTCTTAATCCTTTACACCCTAACATCAGTATCCATATTCCCCATACCCTTCTTCACAAATTTCCTTTAATGCTGACAGGGGGAATTTGCTCAACAATCAAGAGCTTCTTGAGTTGGTGATCATTTCCTTTATTCTCGTTACCTTAATTCAGCGGTGATATTGCAAGGAGAAATTAGATGCTGGTCACTTTTAGGGGTCAAAGTAAGATCACAATGAGGCATACGAAACACTCGTTGTTACCTTCATAGCATTTGGCCGGACATCCGCCCCTTCAAAAATGTTCTTGGCCGCACTCAGAGCTCGCTCAAAAGCAGGAAGCCCTTGACTTGCGGGCAAACTTTGCACGAGTTGCAAAAGATACTCAGCAGATGGGTCCTTTCTGTTGAATCTTTCCATAACAGTAGCATCTGTACCGAATGACAGCATAGCATATCGAATGCTTCCCACCCCATAAACATTAAGCACATACTTCAGGGTGTCTTTCATCGTGCGCAAAGTTTGCGCTACGTTACTTGCGGTGGCGCTCACAGCCAAAATCATGTCCACGTCCGGTAGAATACGTACTGAAATGCAAAAAAATTCTGATTAATGCTGTTTTTTTTCCTGTTTGTTTGTTTGTTTGTTTCACAGAGATACACGGTGGCCTAAAGACTCCACCTCTAGAGGTCTGGGTACGAGACCTGGCCCGGTGAATGTGCCTCAAAATCTCCACCCTAAAGTATAGATTGGTACTGGTGTGATGGACAAACATCCCAGCTAGGGGAGAGTGGTGATATTCATAGTCCCTTCATGCTAAGGAAACCGGATAAGCCTTGTCTGGGTAGGCCTCTGGGCTCGAGAACAAACTCTTTTTCACAAGCTTCACCGCTGAGCTTAAGAGAATTCATTGGTGCGCTCGGCTATGTATTAGGTTCATATGCACCGAGTGTTTTGATAGTGTTAGGAAATCTTACTACCACACAAATGAAGTCGCTGCCACCCATAACCGCTGACCGTCAAAATTAAACATCACAATTATTTAAATTTTTAGAGAGTGCTAAGTGGCCTTCAAACAGTGTTCGAGGGCAAAATTGTGAAAAAGGCTCATTCACAAAAAAATTCCACTCTGTTTTAATCGAAATACTGAGTGAATTCCCAAAAAAATAGCCCATATTCTCACTTGCACAAACGAGAAAAAAAATTTGATCGAATTCTCATCTAACATCCACGTGACTGTTTGGGTCAAAACCCAAACATGCCTTGGCATACCTTTAAAGATCTTCCACATTATTGCTTCTCCAAGTTCATCTGGTTTAAATACTTTTGGAGCTTCAATCAGACTATTTTTATCTGATGTAATCAACGTCAATTCTCTCTTGTCAGCCTCCTTTCCGATAGCAACAGGAATAACATCAATAAACCGCAGATACAAAGTATTCGAAATCTCGCCCAGTTTTGTTTCGTCGACACCAGACCTCTTATCCATTATCACGACCAGAATTTTCCGAGCAGTTGGTCGAGCTCCAGGTCCTTCGAATAACTTCACTGATTCTTCTAAAGCTTTCTGAAGGTCAGGTCCTAAGTAGAGATACGAAAAATATACCTTTAAAATGCGTGAATGCAAAATAAGAGACAAACCACCATAGGGAAAAAAAAAAACAGTAGAAGTGTTTCGTTGATTGAAATCGTGTCGAATTTTTTAGTACCACGCTATCATCACGAAGAACGTTATTTAAAATAGAAATACAGTTTGTTTATCTCAAATCTTACTCAAGTCTGCTAAACTTATCTGAAAGGAATTCTTGTAATTTTGAAGTGTTGTGACAATTTTTTTTTCCCGTTGATGTAAAGGATATTGAAGACTGAAATCTTGATTCACTTTATTTCTTTGATATATTAATGATACCCCAGAGAGGTCAAAAGCTTAACATACCGGGGAGTTTGAAAAAAGCGGAGGATTCAGCTACAATTGGCGGGGATGGGAGGTTCAAAATTAATCGTGATCGAGACCTCAAAGGGCTTAAAATAGCAGGAGTTCGAGATCCACGGGGGTTCAAAGCACCGAGAGTTCGAGATCTCAGGGGTTCAAATACCGGAAGGTCGAGATCCTAAGGGGTTCAAAATACCGGGAGTGCAAGGTCCTAGGGGTCAAAAATACTGAGAGATCGAGATCCCAGGGAGTTAACATGTCACCTGTTGAACTTCTTGGTACAGAATCCAAAAGTCGTATCATTTCTTCTCGAGTGAACGCGTCTCGCCTGAAGTCCCTAACACGGCTGGGTGCATTGCCAAACACCAACAGACCATGATGAATCTTGTCTGTTCCATATTTATTCACAATATACTTTGTTGTTTCTTTGATGCGACTGAATGTCTCATCTGCATCTGTTGCGGTAGCGCTAATGGCGAAAGCGAGGTCAACCTCTGAGACTGAAGGTCCATCTAAAAGAGACAATTCATAAATTTTTCCTTCAGAGAGGCCAATAAAAGCACTTCAGTTAATACCTCTCTCTAGGTACAGTAAAATCCCTATTAAGTTGCGGGCTGTGAGGAGGGGGGTGGGGGCCAAACCCATACCGGCCACTGCACAAAATGTACCAAAATGCTTCTGGTGTAGTTCGTTCACTCAGTATTCATCGTACCTATTATCGAATTCCAACAAAGTTTGGTGTGGGAAGACTTAAGCCTTCCCCCTTTCAAAACACTCATAAACACTCACACATACACCGCTTCGCCGTTAACCAGTGTAATTCCTTCAATAACACTACTGATAATCTTTTCAGTCGATAAAACTCAGAAAACTCTCCGTTATTGACTGACAAGGAGATACTTTGTCACCAGTTTGGCGAATTAGTTTTCACATTTCGAGGACAGAGGAGTTCATAGCCACTTTTTTCATTTTGGGGGGAAGGGGGTGACGGGGAGAGAAGGGGGATAATTAATTCCTTTTTCTACCTCGAATCTTGTCCATAATCTTCTCTCCTACCACCTCAGGATCCGTTTCTTTTCCAGTCTCAATAACATTCGTCTTGTCAGGTGTCGTGTTAACGAGCTCATCAGGGTCTCCTTCTTCACCGACCACAACAGGTATAACCAAAACATCCGTATCCACAAGAGGCTTGGCTGCTGTTTTAACGTCATCCACAGTAGACCCAGAACTACTATCTGCCATGATCACAAGAACTTTACGAGTAAGGGGTCTCCTTTCGTCATCATCAAACATTTCTGATGCTTTCCTCAGCGCGGCTGCCAAGTCTGGTGTCCCCGTGCCAATATTGAGGTTTTCTACAACTGTCTTGAGTTGCTGTGGTGACGGAGGTGTCTGCCCAAATTTAATTTCTATCGATGCAGTTTCACTGTACACAATGACACTGTAGTGTATTTTCTGGGTGCCATAGGTGACGATGATGTAGTTTATCACATCCTTCATTAGCTGAAATGTTTCGTTATAAAGTGTACTGGCTGCACTCAACGCGAAACCAAGATCAATCTCAGGGATAGCTTGAACTAAACAATGGAAATATCGACATGAACCATAGTTTGACTTGATAATTATGATCTGAATGTATGCTTTGAAATGAAGTCCTCAGATGGATATAGCCAGAGATATTAAGAGGGGGAGGGAGAGGGTTTATAGTTCCGTCATTGTCAAACTTCTAAGGCACACCCGAGACATGAAAAGCGAGTGAGTCAATGTAGTTTCTAGACAACTGTTTCGAGCGTAATTCAGGAAGGTAATAGTCTATGTCACCTAAGTCACAGCCTTTGTGTAAAATGCAACGCAACGCTCTCTCCTCCTAACTCCTTTTCTACTGCAAGGGGGGGGAGGAAATGAAATAAATCGAAAGCTTTCTTATTTTATAATTTATCATTTAATCTCCTGATACCTGTGCGAATCATCTCCATGATCATCCTGGCCAATTCAGTCGCCGAAGTTCCATCTTTTGGTTGTATGATGGTCTCTTTGTCAGGAGTTATAATTTCCAATTCTTTCGTATCGGCCTCTGTACCGATCGCCACCGGAATCACCGTTATCCCAGCATGCTCCAGGAGCTTGGCTGCTGTCCTGACGTCACCAACATTTGAGCCAGATTTCCTGTCCGTGATAACAACCAGGACCTGACAGAAAACAAAACAATAAAGTATCATTACGTTTTCCACAGGAACAATAAATTAACGAGTCACTGACAAACCCATTCCATTTCCGTCCTCTTCATGGTACAAAGAGTATTAAATTCACGTCTCTCGCACGGTGTATGACTTCTCAAACATAGGGTAGGAGAGGAAAAATTATCGCGATTTAACAGAAAGCATCAAGAACTTCCCTAACGATCACGGATCCCTTAAAAAAAGACTATTACATTGAGTACAAGTAATTTTAAGTCTACGAAGTCATTCACGCGGGTGCAAACATATTTTATTTCTGAAGTTGAATCGGTAAGTCCCTTCAAATCTTAGCAGAGGCGAATCTGTTCCCCATTGGTGGCTTTCGACCAGATTTTGATCCCTACAACGACAAGGAGTATTTCACGTTCCCTCCCCTTCCTCAAAACTCACGAGTGCCCTTTCACACTCCTAGGTGTGGTGATATGAGAGTTAAGTATCTACTTCAAGTCCACAAGCCAAAAGTCCTGTCCAGAGTCAGACCTTGAATTTTCGATACTGGTTCCCGTAAGCCTACTGTACGGCCACCAAAATTACGCGCGTGTTCCCTTAAAATATAGCAAGCCTGCAAGAATGAATACTGCTCTTAGTATCACTTGTTTCTACCTTACGAGCCTGCGGTCTTGCTGCATCAAAAAGTCTCCTTGCTTCTTCTAAGCTATTGTCCAATGCCACTATCCCTGTCTCTCGAGTGACTGCATCAACTGTCCGCTTAAGAGCATCAAAATCAGATGGTTGGCTTTGGAAATCAAACCATTTTTTTGGTTTTTCGCCATAAGCCACGACTGCATAATTAATCTTTGACATGCCGTACATATCAGCAAAGGCTGTGATGGTGTCTTTCATCAGTTTGAAGTTAGTTTCGGCATCCGTGGCTGTGGCGCTAATGGCGAAGGCTACGTCCAAGGTAGGTACATTTGGGATTTCTTTGAAGAGACATTTAACACAGATTATGAAAAACACGAAATTACTGCAATTCTGATTTAAGAAAATGCTCAATAGGAATTTACCAAATTGATTACACCCTTAAAAAGTTCGTTCTTTCCAAAACAATTGACCCCAGATACATTACCTTTGAAAGCCAGATTCATGACCTCAATACCCAATTCATCTGAGTCATCCGTGATCTTGGCCGGGATAACATGGCGTACATCTGTTGCTATATATTTAAGCTCGGTAATGTCGCTTTCGCTGCCCAACCCAATGGCAATGACTTTAATACCCTTCTCCAAAAGCTCTTTGGCAGCAGTTTGAGCAGCCTGATCATCTCCTGTCGATTTTTTGTCTGTGAAAACGACCAGGACTTTGTGTGCATTAGGACGAGTGCCTTCCGATTCAAACAGTTCTTCCCCCTCCTTGAGTCCTATATCCAAGCGTGATCCACCGGACTCAGGGGTGACCGTTGCAAGATGTCGTTTCAAATCATCTCCATTGGTAAAACTCTGATGAAATTCGAGGACAGTTTTTGTGTCGTTACCGAACACTTCGACTGCATATCTGATCCGGATGACGCTGTACTGGTCGATAATAGCATTGATGACAGAATTCATCTTTTCAAAGTTCTTATTGGCATCTGAAGAAGAGACACTCAGAGCGAAGCCAAGGTCCACCACAGGCACATACTTCATTTCTGATTAAAATTAAAACACAATAGAAAATTCATTTTGCAAGGTAAAACTAGAAAGGCGTCCTGCTATCTCAACCCCCCAGGAAACAGTCAAGTTCCTCAGGAAAGAGATAATTACAACATCCATCAATAAAAGAGGAGGGTGGGTACCCTATGCCCATATAGAGGAAGGCAGTGATCTCCTCCGCAACGAGGTGGTGACCATGGCAACCCAGACAAAGCTCACCTCCAGGCACCTGTCAACACAACTCCAACAAATTGGTGTAAGGAATAATTACTAACCTAAATTGTGGGGTGGAAGGGGGGAGTGGGGTAGGTGGGGGAAAACAAAACAAGCAGAGTAGTAAGGCAAACCGAGCAAAAGCACTGGGCAATTCCACTGCAAACCTTTTTGAAGATCCCCCCCCCCACCCTTCCCCACATCTCATTGGAGAAACTGCCGCAGTAACTTGGTTTAACCCTTACCTTAAGGGATACATTGAGAAAAGTCTACCCCCGAAGATAGATGGAGAGTAACTTTAAACATCGCAGAACTTCCTTAAGCAAGTTGCTCACCTTTGATAGCTTCTCTCATGATCCTGTCACCAAGTTGTTTAGGACTCTCTTTGGGGTCCTCCTTAACACTGTTATCTTTCATGGGAGATAAAGGCCGTAATTCACTCCTATCTGACTCCTCACCCATGGCAACGGTTATAACCTTGACACGCATCTCATGTAACTCATCCGCAAGGGGTTGAATTTTGGCCCTGTCCCCTGTCGCTTTGCTATCGGTCAGAATCACCAACACATTGCGACGCTCCGGTATCTCACCGCTGAACATCACCTTTGCACTCTCAAGAGCGGCTGCTAAGTCCGCTCCGCCTCGACTCCGCTGTACCATTTCCACGAAGATTTTTAGTTGCTCGTCGCTACTAAATATCTCTGTCAATTGGATTCGTGGCACCGCCTTATTGCCGTAGACAATAAGACCATATCTGATTTTTTGCTGTCCGTAAGAGTCGATGATTGAGTTGATTGTGTCGGTCATGCGGCCAAAGTAATTCTTAGAATTTTGTCCGTTTGCATTGATAGCAAACACCAAGTTCAGTGGTTCAATGCCTAGGCAGATTTAGACAAGCGACATTAATAAGTGTGTTTGTGGTCGTTGTTGAAACACTTATAGGCCTAGCCTACAAGTAGTCCCTCCTTTTCGGCGAAGTCCGTCGAGCGATTGAAAAAAAATTAGCCGAAAAAAAGTATTATCTTAGCGCATCGCACTCAACTCTCGGAGTGAGGTACCTCACTCCCAGAGTTCTGCGCGCACTGATTCTATTTTTTTTTCTCCCCCGACAGACTTTGCCAAAAATAAAAGGAGACTGCATGTAGTCTACACTAGGACACGTGATTTCGAAGATAACCTTAATTACTGGTCGAACAGGACACTTTGAAGTTCCATAAAAACTAACTCTTTCAAAATGAGGCTACAGGAAAACTACTTTTTTTTTTTTGGAAAAATTAAAAAAATCTTCACAGTTACACTTGTTTAAACAGAAGCATCTCAGAACTGCAATGGCTTTCAAAGAATGTCTAACCAGCTACAGACAAAAACTTTTCGGAAACCAGGAGTAAATCCAGTTTGAAGTGTACTCAGTAACAAAACCTTTAAAAACATCAGTAACTAAAGCCTTTTTCCTTTGTTTGGGCTCGATTTCTGGTTTATAATTCGTTTCTTTTTATTTTGGTATCTTTGTCTTCACTGTTACCGTAATTATGGTAGTAATGTTCAGTTTCGATGCTGCTTTTGCTGTTTCGGTCGTTCAAAATTTCTGAGTGCCTATTGCGTTACAACTAACTAACTCTTTTAAACAAGATTCATCCATACCTTGACACAAATTCTTGGTTACTGTTCTCAAACTTCTTGCAAGCTGTCCAAACGATCCCATCTTAAGGACGTTTTCAGAATTCCCCATGGCAATAGTTTTCAGTTCACTTTCATCAGCCCCAGCTCCTACGCCAACAGCCAGAACTTGCACTCCTTTAGTCTGCAATGGAAATAACACTCCTATTCAGTTACTTAATCCCTCTACACCCCAATATCAGTATGTATATTCTCCATACTGTTCTCCATACATTCACTAAGGTGCTGACAAGGAGAATTTGTCTAACAATCAAGAGCTTCTTTAGTTGATGATTATTTCCTCTGTTCTTGTGACCTTGATTTTTGATTCAGGGGTGATATAATATTTAAGGAGAAATTAGATGGTAGTTACCCTTAGAGGTTAAAGCATTCATACGGACTATCTCTTTATTGTTACCTAGTCTTAGCGCGAACCAGTCGCAAGATAAACCAGGGTCGGATAAACCTGCGATCGACAGACTTTTGATCCCGTTGTGATATTTCTACTGGTCGAGACGTTTTCAGAAGCTAATACTCTGGATGTGGAATTTATTTCAAGCTTATCAAATGTATTTTCTGCTTATCAAGAGGAAAGCAAGATCAAATGAAGAGTTGAGCGAAAGGAAATGAATCGAGTTGAGTTGAGAACCATCTTAACACAGCTACTTTGCGCGCTTGAATGACAAGACTCTCCACGCTTTAATCCTATGACTTCAATATCACACTTAACACCTTATGATGATATATTTAGTTTTGAAAAAGATAGCTGACAGCAGTCAAAACTGTCAAAAGAAGAATGAAAACTCTCGGTTAAGTTGAGAGAAAAAAAAAAGTAAGCGCAGTTACAAAAACCAAAGTAGTCACAACCCCTTATCAGAGCAAGAAAAATACCTTTAAGAGCCAATGAGGACTCAAAGTAAAAACAACCAAACTGACTAAAGCGCGGGAATACGTCCGATAATCAAGTCGTGATCGGTTTTGGTTTTGCATCTAATTGGTAGACCAGTAAAATTGCTTAGGGTCTAAACCAATCACAAAGTGAAGTGGAGGAAAACCAATGCAATCTGGGATTACTTTTGAAAATAAATTTAAATTGCTCTAATAGTAGCTTTTTTGTTTTGGTTTCCCAGTTCGAAATCACAAAGCTCTTTTAGCTACAAATTCACCGGACCTTTAGAGGAGCCAAAACTGTCGAGTAGGGAGCTGAGTCATCGCTGGTTTTTCCATCTGTGAGTACAATCAGCAACTTCGGCACACCCTCTCTCGCTCCGCCTTCTTCAGTAAATAGTCTCTCGTTTGCCATTTTGATCGCTTTGTCTGTGCGTGTACGCCCAGGGTCGTAATTAATTTCCAAAATCTTCTCCTTCAGCGCCTGTGGGTTTTGCGAGGCAGAATTGGCAAAATCAAAGTCCAATATGGCGTCTTGATTATAGTGAAGAAAGCCAAAGTGGGTGCCGTCTTTAGAAACGTGGAAGTAGTCGATAAGCTTGGCAAGGGAGCGTTTAAGGGTCTCATAATTTTCCCAACCAACGCTTCGAGATGAATCCAAAACTACACCAATGTCCATCGCGTGAAAACAGGCTTAAAAGAAAGATTAAAGCATAGTAAGTTATTGTTTAAATATTCCCGTTGGACTCTCCACTAGATAAAGAGAAATAGAGAATAATAAATGACTGCTTGTTGATAAGACATTTATCTTCTCGTATTCAACTCATTATTTCCCGAGTGAGTGCAGCGAACGCGTGATAAATCGAGTTGATAGCAAGAAAAGAAATTTCATATCTACAAGCAACCATGTATTGTTTTGTTTATGTACACTCCTTAGTTTTTTACTGATAAGAGAAATCGACTGTCTTAATGAGAGAAGCGTGAAAGGCGAGTGACATGTCAGCATCTGATTGGCGATGTCAAACACACGTAGGGTTGTCAGTTCACATGTTAAAACTGAATTGGAAAAATGGAACACTTTCCCTTACTGGCATATTTCACTCACTGAGCGATCCCACAATACTGAAGGTTCACCATAAAACTAGGTCGCAGCAATACCCTGGGTTCGAGATGGCGGAAGGTTCAGGATACGGGGGACCGTGACAGACAAGGGAGTTCGAGAAACGAAAGGTTCATGATAACTGTGGTTCAAAGTGTTGGAGGATTCGCGATACGAGTGGAAAAGCTTTAGATACGAGGGGAGTTTGAGATATCAGGGGATTAAAGGTACGCGGGAGATATGGATGATTTGCGCTTAAGGGTTAGAGGTGTAGAAGAATGGCACTAAACCATTACTAAAAATTACGAATAAAAAATCGAAGGTACTTGTGTTCACCTCCGCAAGGTTTCGTGTCTGCTACTTCCACATCCCTGCTCTCTCGACATGCTGTCGCCTTCAGAACACACTCATTAGTATAATCTCGACCATCGGTTCCACATACGGGATCTTCAATTTTGGCACATTTCTCATCACAAGCGCATTGGGTGCTGCCATCGGCATAAGAGACGCACTGGGCATAGTGCTCACATACCTTATTCTCGCAAGGATCTACAGAAAGACACGGACAAGTGTAACGTCAGTGCAGTCAGATTTCACCACAGTGGTTTCTTGGTCAACACACCGTAAACTGCCGCTAAAAGGCCCTAGGCCTATACAACTTCGTAAGAGGTTTAAGGAGGGCTTATATCCGAGAAGGCTTATATCCGAGGGGGCTTATATCCAAGGAGCATTATTAGCGGAATAGAAAAAGTGCTTCGAGTCGAGTAATGGCAATGCTGATAAAAATATGTTTTTAATTTCACTGTTTCTTAATTAAACTTCATTAAATATCGAATTCATTTCACGCATTTGGAACGGAATTGAAAACTAACAACAAGAACAAAACTGGAACATAACAAAACGGAATTTCCGACTTTTCCCTTGAAGTTTATCTTTGCTCTCCAATGATCAAAATTTTAATGTCTAATAAACCCTTTATCCTCCATGAGTGACCAAGAGAGAATTTCTCCTTACGATATCAACAAAATATCAAGCATAGAAGTGAAGAGAATAAAGTAAAATATCATTAGTTGATTCAATACCAAATTCTCCAAATTTACATCGTAAGAATTGTATGTCAGACAGTAAAGAGAATTACTAATGAGTTCTTGGGAGTTGAAGTGTTAACAGCAGAGTTCTAATTTCTTAAAGAGAGGAGGGGGGTGCTTATAATCGGATGTCTTTTTTAAGATTACGGGTAGATTGGCCCTTAGTCTGGGGGAGGCTTTTACGCGGCAGTTTTCGGTAACAAGATAAGGGAATTAACGGATAACGGAAAATTACCGAATTATACAAACTGTCATTAAAACTAACCTTTTATAATCATTTCATATACTTTTGGCACCAAAGCTGGCAGTTGTTTATTTTCGTCGAAATCAAAAATATATTCTTCTCCAGAAGCAAAGACCAACAGCTTCCTTTTCACGGGGTTTTTGCCAACAGCCACCGCTACTATCCTAACTCCTTGGTTTTTCAAAGGTGACGCAGCATTACGTAACGTTGCGTCTGCTTCATTCGTGCCCTCTCCTGTCAAAACAATCAATGCTTTAATCGCGTAAGATCTTATCAGCTTAGAATTTCCAAACAACTGGTTGTTTGCGCCCACTAAAGCACTTTGCACTCGTCCTCTTCGTGTTAAACGCAGCCTGTCGACCTTGTCTTTAAGGTTGTCTATGTCGAAGTTTTGGAACTCGGCCAACAGTCGACCTGTGGAATAGTCAATGATGGCTACGTGCACACCAGGCGCAGAGGTACCATACGTGTCCAGGAACTGCTTAATGAAGCCCTTCTGTTTCTGAAATGTGTCCAAGGTAATGGAGCCTGCTCCTCCCAGAGCAAAGACAAGATCCACTGGTTGTTCTATATCAATAAAACGTAACAAATTTAGTTGATGAGAGTTACGAAATCGAACGCCGGTTTCGGGCTAACTAATGGCAAGAAGGTGGCCTAGTTTTCAGCGCAATGGAAGCCAAATTGAGAAGATGTAAGGGAATAGAGTCAAAGTGGTTATATAGAGGAAGAGTTTTTAAAATTTTGCAAGAGGGAGCGAGGGTTCGCTCATACCGCTGCTCTATTTTGCGTACCGGCGGGTCCGTATCGACGCGGTGAGAAGGACCGGCAAATGGAATGTCTAGCCCAAGACAACATTGATTCCACGTATATTCCTCGGATTTGCATATTTCAACCTTTAAATCATCAGGTTTGTACGCTGCCAAGCTAAAAATGCGATAGACCTCCAAGGGCCATTTTAAATTTTTTAAATTTCTTTTCATGTCGAACTAAGTGTGACTACTTTATCTCCAGTTTCCGAGGAAAGGTTTTATAACTTAATGAAAACGGGAGCGACTTAATTACAAAACACATTATAAAACTAAATTCTTCAGTCCACTTGAGTGTGAATAGCCAGATATAACATGTCGCCATAAATGACTCCAGTCATTGAAATGTAAAAATTTCGATCACGTAAATATCTCCTGATTCCAGTTGGACATGACGATCTTTGCTACATGTCTGCGTACAAAACTAGACCGTGCACAGAGAAAGATAAAGAGGAGAAGAGTCCTTAGGTGATAGTAAAAAAGAAGCCCGGCTGTAATATAATAATCTCACTTCAGAGGGGGATCCACGAGCACCTAACCCCACCCCCTTTTGCTACACCCCTGAAATTTATCGCCTCCCGTATGGTATGCTGGTCCACTACAGAAAGGCGCCCAGAATTGAACAAGTTTCCTTGACAGAGTGGCGGTTTTCACTTATTCCCGAAGCTGGGGACATAGCGACTGTAAATGTGAAGTGTTTTCTTTTTTTTTCCAAAAAGGACTATCCGGCAGGCCAGCAAACTTCGCAGAAATGCGTGATCACACATCATCACGGTGAAATCACGACGATCAAATCCCGTTGTGAAACTTCCTCTATGTACTGAAACAAAACTCGGCTGCCAAAATATCAAACAGATTCCATGTCAATGTTACCGAGCGTCTGTTCAGTAATAGCTCACAGATGAGGTCAACATGTGGGGGCTGAGAGGAGATGTTACTAATGTTAATACCACATTTTGATGTCTATTGTCATCTATTACTGATCAGACCCAGGGCAACATGGAATCTACTTTTTTAATAATATAAAGAAGCAAAAAGCTGTTCACGGTGACATCACTTGTGCATCTGTCCTTCAACAGATCATAATTAAGAACCATCAAAACACGTGCATAATTTAACTTGTTTCATAGAACGCAACTTACGTATACACAGTCCACCATGCCGTACTCTGACCTCATGGTACCTCTCACAAGCAGCTGCAGTCAGCTGACAGATGTTATCGTACGACAGCCCGTCCGTGCCACACACTCGGTTCTTGGAATCACCGCAGGCATTTCGATCAGGACAGGTGCACGTGGCTATTCCAGATGGCGGCACCAAACAATAAGAGTAATATTTACAATCCAGCTCATCACAACCTGGGTCTGAAAAACACACGACATGTGTTAAAAGGATCGTCGTCGTCAATTCTTGACCCGTATTTTGGATTGTTGAAATTGAGAGGTTTCCTTTCAATTTTAATATTTGCTTTTACGACTGGGCATGACGCCTATTCCCTCTTCTTTCACAGTTTTACCCTCCTATCTAGAGAAAAATAATCCGATTTAAGCTCTTTTCCGTATTAACCCTTACACATACGGTAGGCTTTCCTTTTCTGTAATACAAAAAAAGGTCAGAATGGCCACTTCGCCCGCAATGCATTCTAGTTGAGCGTGGTTTTTTTAATCTTCCCATGAGCGACCAAGACAGAGTTCCTCTTTACAGTATTAATTCCATATCAAGCAAACAAGTGATGAAAAAAGAGAGAAATATTAATCAGGAGATCAATTGATTCACAATCAAATTCTCCAAACTAGCATCATAAGAATTACATGGCAGATAGTAAGGAGAATGTGTAATAAGATCTTGGGAGTGAAAGGGTCAATAATGACTATAACAAACCACACGGATGACAAGAAGGAAACAACATCTAATTTTAGTTAAAGTATCCGTTTTAATGTTCTCCGTCCTTCGGCCATCCTTGGCCATCCTTGGCCATTCTTGGCTATCCTTGGCCATCTTTGGCCCTACTTGGCCTATTATTGCCTCTTACGTGTTTTTTAATCATACTAAATTAATATTTTTTTGTCTCCTTCCTAGTTTCTCCTAGTTTTTGCGTCAGCATTGCAAAAAAATTACTAAAAATAGGATATAAACTTACCAGTAGCACATCTTCCTGTATGTCTCGGCACAATCCACCTTTGTTCTTGACAAGCCACCAGTTGCAGGGCAACCAGGTTTTTGTAAGTCTGACCATCCGAGCCACAGACTGGGCGGTTGACATTACTAGGCACCAGGTTGCACTCACATTTTGCCACATCACCTTTGACACACTTTGAGTAGAAATGACAACGTTTCCAGCGACAATCGTCAAGATCTGGTAAAGACAATGTAATACGAGATTAAAACATGGCAAACTTGACATGAAGTGAAACTTTTGCTAAAAATTGCTCCTCTCTCCTGCTCAATGAGAGAGAAACACTAAAACAAGACAACCAGTCAGATCTCCGATTTTGCGCCCTTTTTTTTTCTTTCTGGTTCTTTCTGGTGGTTAGATCAATAAAATATTGATACTGACCAATGGCCTGTATTATAGAGGCAGTTCAACTTTATAGTTACTTGCTTTTTTAATTCAAGCTCATGTGGTGGACTAGTTTGATTTCCAAACCACACAAGTGATCTCAAACAAATTACTAATCACTCAGTTCTATTACCATTAGAGGAATCTCCCTAAGGGGAGAGTTCCTTCAGCAAACCACTTCACTAACTTTGCACTTTTCCTAAATAATTTCCCATCAAAATAAGATCTTTAAAACAATGATAGACGAGTTACCTTTTAATATCTTGTCCACAGTTGGTTGTAACATCACTCTCAGTCGATTCAGTGACCCTACTGTCAAAATGAAATCCTCCCCTGAAGCAATGGATTTTACATTATCAAGTCCATTATCTTCATCTCCAACAAGAAGCACTACTACTTTGATTCCTGCATCCTTTAATGCATTGGACATGTCTATGAGGCCTTGAGGATAAGTCACACGACTTCCATCAGTTATCAGCACAATAGCCTGAAAGTAAAAGAAATAATCAGTATAATAGCACATTTTCTCACTCGTCATTAGCCACGAGCCAAAGACCTGCAAATAACTGCCTTCAATCAATAACCTCCCCAAGTGTTAAAATGCCCAAGTGTAAGATCTAAGAGCTTGCTAATTATTTTTTGTATTTATTTTGTTCTTTTCTTTTTTCATATCTCCTCGTTAGTGTCTTTTTTTAAAGATTGTTGGCATTTCTCTTTGTCAGTTACACCCACCGCACATTATTTCAGAGTCCTCTTGTATTTAAAGCCAGTTCCTTAAACACATAATCACTTTTTAAGTCAATTAACCAATAGTCACACTTAGCACAATTCTCTGTTTTAGAGGTCCATTTTTTTGCGGTTATATATAAGGTGTTATAAATGTAAGCATTTTTTACATTTTTGCTTCATTTGTATTCATTGTTTGTTTACAGTTTGTTTATCTTAATCAGTCAAGTTAACTCTTTTTAATGTTTGTTGTTTCAACTTGCCACTACTGCTGCAGTCTTCTAAACAGTACTATAATGCTTTTTGCTGTTACCCCAAGCATTCCATGAAATTTAAACAAACTTCTAAGAAATTTCTGCATGTGGGATTGATTGACATACTTAAACCTGTTACAGGTAAATTATGTATTTGATTCCACTGAAAAATTGAAAATTTCTTTGATAGCATTTCAATTTGTGCTATTTTTCCTTCCTAATTGAATAAAACAAGATGAAGGAAGCAGATTTTTTTAACAACTACTTGCTCTTACTAACAGCTATCCATTAAATTCAAGCACAAACTATACCAGGAAAACATGTAAATGCCATACCTTGGGGAACTGACTATATCTCAATCTGTTATCATACTCCACCCTATACAAGAGACCAGGAACAGAATCTCTCATTGCCTCATCCAGTGTTGTCTTTTTGTCAATGCTCTGCAGTGCATTGATATATGCAGGTAAGGTAACATAGTTGTAAAATGTTACAAAATCTATCTTTGCTGTGCCACTTAGATCAAACTTCAAAAATCCATGAGCTATTCCTTGTTCAGGGATGCGGAATCTGTTTCCAAGTTCCTTGTAGAATTCTTTGATTTTCAGGACATACTTGGGCTCATTCATCGTTGCAGTATCAATGCCAAACATGAGGTGAACAGGCTGTTTTACTCCTAAAAGCAGATCAGTCTAATATCAAAGACCATTCTTATACATGCAACATGAGCCCTGCTCCCAACTGTGGCTTCATAGCTCAGTTGGTACACATAGGAAACACCCAACTAGTCTTCAGGAGGAACAGGTTTAAATCAGGCTTCTTTTCTGCAATTGCTTAAACTGCAGCTCAGCTTGCTTGAAAATCCACTTTAACCTTTACGCCCATAACAGTGACTTGCATCTTAATTCTTCTTACAATATCACCCTTCAATCAAGCATTAGGGTCATAAGAATTGAGGAAATGATCATCAACTAATGAAACTCTTGATTACTAAACAATTCTCCTTGTCAGCACCATTGTAAACGTATGGGGAACAGTATTGAAAATATGCATACTGATGTTAGGATGTAAAGGATTATTGAAAAAATGCATGAGGAAACACCAAGTCTGGGACAGGATTAGGATTTTTTTTGTAGTATATTCTCCTCTAACAGATTGTCTTAGCAAGGAAATCCTACATATTTATCCCTCCTGTTTGACCCCTGACCTCTGAACTCTCACTTTAGACATCTCACCTCTAAACCCTCAAACTTCACCAAAGTCTATCCCCTTGCCCAAACCAATCCCTTTCCCTAACCAATGCTAAATGACACTGAAATGAAGGTCGTATGAGAAAACGCCAAGGTTTCTTTTAATTTTAATCAAACCCAAATCGAACCCCAAGAGTGAAGAGAACGTAATTCTAATGAGGTACATACCACATGCTGTCATGGTTTTAACTTTAATCGTTTTTCTCTTGGTGCAAGATTCCCTTTGAAGTTCACATTCATTCTCGTAAGTCTTTCCATCACTTCCACACACCGGTGAATTCCCTTTGGAGCAGTTCGAAGGACACTCACACACGTGGCTGTAACCATCTATGGATCGGCGGCAAATAGAGTAGAATTCGCATACAATAGACTGGCAGGGATCTATGAAAAGGAAACATAGAATTAGTTAGTACATAATAGTGATGTTTCACTAACATCAAATAGGAAATGGGATAATCGAGAAAAGTGAGTGCAATTATAAGATTTTCATTGGGTCAATAGTATAACGTTATAACAAAGAAAATGTACTAAGTAAAGCTGAAAATACAGCGTTTAAAAATATTTATTGCAAGATCTTTCCTGAGAGTGATTTTTTTCCTGGGTATGGTCTTTCATGTTTCGCAATATAACATCCTCTGATTCCAAGTTAAAAATTCGAAACATTTAATATATTTGATCAATCAAACCTGAATCCCAACAAACTGATTCGAGGATAGAATGAAGCCTCTCTTAAGAAAAAAATAATAAAACCGCAAAACACGACATTGGCAAAACACACTGCCATCATGTACGATTTTTAGAGCTCCCAGTCTCTCTCGGGTTTCATCGGAAAAACTGGACTGGAACTTCAATGAAACAAGGATTTGTCCGGAGTAAAGAAGGGTAGGTACATAACCAAGTGCTACCCTGAGCTACACGAAAAAAAAAACAGTTTTCAATGGAAATCGATGTTTTTTAAAAACATAAAAAAACCGCATTAGATTGAAAAAAAAAGTTTAACCACTTACAAAAGCTTCGGTGACGTTACAAACTATATAATTTTAATTCAGGGTATATTAATGGAAGATATCGGCTTACTTTCTTCTTGCTTGCAGACAGTCTGCTCAAGTAACATTTCTCCATTAGGTCTACATCGTCCGCACCATCCTCCGCACTTAGCAGACACCATTGTACCATCCTTAGATTTTTTGTACTCATGCATTTCTATTCCTGGTGGGAAACCAAGCGCCTGCCACTCAGTAGACGACTTCAAGCGCAGGCCTGTACGAGTAAGGTCAATTTTAAAGTGTCCCCTTCTGCAGTTACCACCAAAATGCATTGAGAAACAGTCACCAGCTGTTCCGTACGCGATTCTCCTGCCGAAAGGATCCGACTTAGCAAACGTATAATCGTCGGGGATGATCGCCATTCTCGTGAGATCCACACGAACTTTGCGGAACTTCGTCAATCCAGCTTCGGTGTAATTCATAGCTCCGGGTTTTCCTGAACATCGATACCTTGCGGAGTAAGGTCTGTGAGGCAGCCTTTTGGCGTAAATATAGGCGTAATTGTTCTGAACTCCGGCTGGCAACGTGACAAATTCCTTGGGGGTACTAGTATTCATACCGTGACAATAGACTTTCATTGGCGTGTTACACTTTGAACGTACATATATGAGGTATTCACCATCTGTGGCGGCGACACCGGCGTTTTTCAACCCAAGACAACTCGTGGCACCTGCAAAGTTCAAAGGCGAATAACAACTACTCTATAAACAGTTTTCTTGCAATGGTAGAACCCCGCTAACTCAAACTCCTGAGGGAAACAGAAAATGGTTCGAATTAGCGACAGTTCGAGTTAGCTGATAGAAAATGACAGCAAAATGTGTCAAGGGAAATCGGATCTTGTTAAAGTTACCAGGGGCTCGAGTTATGGGAGTTCTAGTTAGAGGGCTTCCACTGAAGTCATTTTTGGCTATGCCACACCCAAGAAAATTCCTCTGGCCTTGAAATTCTGCGAGTAAAGAAGAAAGCCTACAACTTATTTGTATATCGTCCTAATATCACATCTGAGCATTTCGAAGCTAGCGGTAGAAAAAGGTCGATGTTGATGCCTACACTGTTTCATGGTCCCTTTAAGATGAAAATAAGTCGGCAACAGCTGTAGAGATTCATTCCCGGGTTCTTCCAATTAGTATTAAGAGATTATAATCTCTTACTGCTACGTATGGAGGGTGAAAACCTGGGAAGAAATCACTCTTTAATGTGATTGTGGGACTTAATCTTAATATCTTAATCTTAATAAACCAAGATGAAACTACTTCCATTTCATTGAGCTAACCCTGGGCTAAGGAATGATATAAAGATTTAGCCAGCCTTAAACGGGGGCTCGAATTGCTTAAAATTCTGATGCCCTTTGGTGTGATAAAATTTCCCTGAAGTTGCATTGTCCGACGTCGTTTCTTCCAGCTTCTCGCTTACGCGAAATGCAATTTTCATACAGATGTAAACCGTCAAGTCACGGCGTGTTTTTCCCGAGGTTGATCAGCTTTTCCTTAGGTAAGGGGCTCCGCTAACGCGCTTCAAAGGGAAGAGCTCCTGCATCACGAGCTTCGCACCATGTACCAGCTCTCATACTTACCACACTTCCCGTAACGAAGGCGCGTGATATCCCTCTGATACTGACAGCTAGCCGCTCTCATGAGGCAAGGGTTGTTGTACGTCTTACTATCAGTTCCACAAACTGGATCATACTGTCTGGCACAGTATATCCTGCACAGACACTGAGAACGCCCGTTGGAATCTTCTTCACACACTCCGCCATATCGACAGTTACTCTCGTTGCATGGTTCTATCCCTTGTTGGAAAGCTAACAATTTGCCGTTGTCGAAAGAATCATCTGAAAATAAGAAAATTGTACATCATACATCAGAAAAACTACCCCGGCCACCCCTGCCATGTTGCATCTGGCTTGTATAACTCGATATAATCTCTCTTTACCGTTCGAAAAGGCGCGAATCATACCATAAACTGTCACTAATAACCACGCCCATTAAACCTAAAACATTCTTGGGCTGCCCTACTCGGGCTTTCCCTTAGTGAAATGTTATAACGTAACTTCCCCATTAGATTTATCATGATGTTTCAAAGAATATTGAAAAACTAAAAAATGAAAACGTATATTTAGATCAAAACTGCCATGGCTCGTTACGAGGGACTTAATTTTTGTTTAGTCTGGTTATCAGCTTTCTTGGACTTAACTACCCCTCCTCACCGTCCTTAAACTCACGTACATCCCCTCAGGTAGTAATGTAAGGCTCGGCAGTTATGTGTACACGCAGCAACTGATTACCAATCACCTCTCCTTAATAAAAAAATGTTACCACCACAGCTTATCGGGGCATGATAAGCTGCAGTCTCTCATTATCAACTATTTGCGCGCACGCAACGCTTGGTTCAGTCCATGCAAAAATTTGCCTTGGATAAAGCTATGATTTCTAATAACAAACTAATTACTGTTTATGTAAGATTTCAATCGCAAACTGCTCAGTCATTTTTGAGCTTCCGTGCTCGCGCCTGAAAAGTGTACGTTTGGTTCAAAGGCGACTTTACGATAAACCATGAGAGGGGTCTCTTACTTAACAGTGATTTACATTTCGCACATAGAACATAGACATAGGCAGGTCAAGGAAATAATAATAAGAAACATTCGATATTGTTCAGCCTGGTTTCGAAAAGAAACCCTTCGTTTCAATGGAATGATTTTCTCTTTTGCCGAAACTGAGTTCACTCCGCCGCTGAGTTTAGTTTAAAAAAGTAGGAGCTAAGAGGATTACGTATTTGCGCGCAAGTTTTCCTTTTTTGAAACACGATTGATACTTACCACCACCGGAGGAATTAAAACATTCATGTTAACACGACTTATCGTCGGAAGGACAAAAAATAAACAAAGATAATTTTAAGATATTGTTATAGAAGAGGTGAAATGAGATTAGGAGTATCTTTTTGCGTGTGGATAGCACGGCGGCATTTCAGAAGATTAACAAAATTTAACACTAACTGTGTTTTATATACCACCCCCGTAAGGCTTAAAGTCTGTTTTAGTCTCAAAAGCGCTTGATCAGGTCTGATCTCTAATGACAAGTTTAAACGCTGCAATTACGGAGGACTTTGAATCAAAAAGAATATATAATCCTGGCATGCAACCCTTAGACTGTTCTCCCTGACTAGAATCTTCGCTGAGAAAACGTGCGAAAAAAGGCAATCTGAAGTTTTCTGTATCACGCAAATGAGGATCCTGTGTTCAAGATATGATCTGTGCGCCAACTAGCGCACGTCAAAATTTCGATTTTAGAAAGAAATTTTATTATATTTTTCTGCATCACAAAGTTTGAAACGATGGCTTCAAAATGGCTTTTCAATATTTAATTTGACATAAATAAAAAACAAACCGTGATCCTAATCTGACCCACCCATTTCCTAAGCCTCTTATCCCATAAACACACGTCTTTGGTCTCGTTCCCAGATCGCATTGTAACCTGGTCACAAAGCGGGAAAAGGGGGGGGGAAACTTCATACGCGCTTCACCTCTGCTAAGAATTTTTTTTTAATGTAAACAAGATAGGAAAGACAGCACGTTTCCCGTTCCACGCTTATTTTTATCCTCTTTGCATGAAATTTATAGCCTGAGGCAAAAAAAAAACAAAAAAAATTGAGACCTGTAAGTAGCTGAACACTTCACGTTCATCGGCAATCTGTAAAAGTGTACTGAGTCAGTTCAAGCAATACAGAAATTATTACGTTTCCTTACGACAAAAATTTTGAAACCTCTCAAAAAGGATGCATTCAGCGAGAGGCTTTTAGAATGCAAATAATGTGTACCTGATCAAATGAATAATTCATAGCTTGATGCAATATCAATTGTACCTTCACTTCCGGCGAGATTTCCTGATATTCTCGAATGTCCGTATCTCAATTTTCGCAATGTTTAAAGAAAAGGTCATCTTTCACATTGATGCATATGTAGTTACATATTTATTTTGTCGTTAATTCTGTATTTTCGTTTCTGCTTCCGAAGGCACGTTGCATTACTATACAGTAACTGCGACAGTTAATTAATCACTCATTATTTGAAGACTTTGAGGAAAAAGTGTAATATTTTGTTATTATATTTCATATGGTGGAAGTCACAAGATTTGACCGTTGCAGCCCTAAAATTTCCAATTTTCTTAACAACCAAGAAGCCACTGTAATTTCCGATCAAACCTTCAATCCCTTAGCCGCTGCCATTCATCATATGCCAAGTTTCTCAGTTTCCGTTTTAAAAGAACTCTATCAACGACGATAGACTGAACGACTCATTCAAAGTTATCCATAATTTGCGGATTGGGTGCAGTCGCCCTTTATAGACAGTCCCTGACCTCTTTCGCTGAATCATGTAAGGATCAGTTACTCACAGGGTACATAAACATGCGTCTCCAGATTAAAACTTTTTTGGTTTTTTCGTGCGACCTTTTTGGCAATGTTTAAAAAAATCGTAACCAGACAAAATTTTAAAAAACTATCATTTTTGAAACAAAGTTCGAACGTGGATGAGTAAGGAATAAGGAATGACAAATTTTGAATGCAATGTAATAAAATTGGGCGAAGGTTATCTCCCACACTCGATATTACATAAGTCAAAGCGCATAGCCGTGTTATTTTAGTGAAATCGCATACCAATGCGCGAGTTATTCTATTAGTATTCCATACCTGGGAGTGCTCTGAGGACTTCATCTATCATATTCATCGTGACAGGCAAAGAAGCAACTGCAGTCAAAAATCCGCTGGAGTGTCGTTTAGCAACCCAAAGTCTCACGTCTTCCAGTTTGTGTCGGTGATCACAAGATGACGCTCTTTCGATGGCATTTATATCGGAAACGCTACCTAAATGCGCGTCCCTGCGAAATACATTTCGCACGTAAACTCGAGCTGTTATGTGGTTATTTTTCTCAAGAAACAGTCTCGTTATTTCTCCAGTAAATGCTACATAGCCCTTTCCAGTAAATTTTGGTAGCTGACAGGTTCTTGATGTAAAATCACCGTTTGCGGCAAAACAGACCGTCCTTAAAGTACAGTATACTGCGAGAATTCTCAGAAAAATCCACTCCATTGTAGTTCTGTGCTTTTTGTCCTAGTTCTTACAGCATTTCTGCCTAATCCGCTTGGTAGTTCATGCAAACACAAGCACGACAAACTTGTACGGTTCGCTGTAATTCCAGCAGTGTCGGATCTGTTACAGACACGCTACAAAAATAATTGAAAACAATCATATGAATGTGGCTAATTAGGGCCGGTTGCAAACAATGGATGAACTACTGAAAGACCACAAACCTTTTGTGAGGGAAAACTGATTGTGTAAACGATGATCCCGCAATGAAGACAAGCTTAGAAAAGCTTAAAAAAGTTGTCCTGTCGCGATGCAAATGGTACAGTTGAAAAATTTTAAAGAAGTTGTAAACCTTGAAATATTTCGATTCTTCTACCACGCGTGGCTGTAGGAGAATATTCCCAGAAGAAGGCCTTTGTGATCGGATAAAACCGGCTCAAGGCAGTTTGCAAGAAAGCTAGACTTTGTGGGAATAATTACTGAAAGAGTCGGTGGGATTTTAATGAAATATTATCTGTTTTCACAGCTTGATCTGTCAAATATCGCTGCGATAAAAGGTAGCGAAAGATCAGTAAACTATTGCCAAATAGTATTTCCTTTACCCGATGAAACCCAGGTATACAAAAGGATATTTTTAGAATATAAGGAGCTTTAAACGTTACATGAGAGCAAAGGGTTTTAAAATTTAGATATTGGATAGAAAAGGATTCAGCTAATTTTTATTAATCGTTTGAGCCTTGTCAGTGGTTTGAATGGATCCATAATTATTTGGATCAACTTCAAAAAGAGCTGAATGTTCCTGAATTTCTTAAAGGAAAAGCATTTTGTCCATCAAAGACTCGTCAACTTAAAAAAAAAAAATACGATTACAGTAAAAAAAACTCGCAACTCCAAGAAAACCAAACATGAACCATCGTTTACGATTTTATCGTTGGCAAGAATCCCGGAAGGGTGATGTAAGACTATATCGCTCTTGAAATTGCATTTAACGAAACGATCAAGGCAGTTGATTTTCATAACAAACGTGATTTTTATTTATTTAGATGTCTCAAGAGATGTGTTCCTCTCAGACATAAATTGGCTATTTTTTCTGTAGTCTCCTTCAGGTTCAATGCCGTTTTGTAATTGATGTCACGAAAACCTTGTTGCGTGACATTCCAGAGGGATTTGAAGTATTGCTCCGTGTTCGTACCGTAAGGGTATTTTATCTGAATTCCTCGTGGAAACCGCGAAAATCTTATGAAAATCTACCCACAATCCCGGCCATAAATTTGAAAGCAGAACTTTCTGAAAATTTTTCTGTCGTTGATAACCTTTACGCGGTAGCAAAATAACCAATTAAGAAAATGAATACTCCCTGGCCAAAATACCGAAGGTTTATACTGAGAGAAATCATCAGAAAGCTCCTTCTGATGTGTCACTTGGCTTATGTTTTGAATGACTACAAATTTTTAATACTTGTTCGTTTGTTTTACATCACACAAGGAGTTCCCATTATAAATCAGGCAATATGATACTGATTCAAGTACTTTGTTGTCATAAACCTCACACTCCGAAATTAAGATCACAACCTGGTTTCAATCCAATTTGGAATTGCTCCGCTCCTTTAACGGTTTCCAATTCTGCTCAAAGTTTAAATTTATTGCTAAAGAATTTGTTTATTTTTACCAAACGTACTGAAAAGAACTTGTAGGATTTTGTAGCAAATTGCACTGAGATCAGACGAAACGTCGTTGTCAAACCAGAGTAACACGAACGAATGCCAAACGGTTCTCCATCCAAGTTGATGTAGGCATTTGTTAGCATTAAAAGCCCATGTGTTGAAAAAGTATCCAATCATGACAAGACTTGAGCCAATTTTAGGAATTGACGTATCTTCCCACGCGCAACACGTTCCCAAGACCTTGGCAGAACTTTCCATGACCTTCAAAGGAAATTAAGGGCGCTTATCAATCACGCGAGGGTACCACCAGCTTTGAGAAAGACGACACTTCCTTATTAGCGAGGGGTTAAAAATAAATTGCGTGTCATTGCGCTTCTCGATTAACCGTTCTGTAGCCAAAAACCAAAGAAATCACGCCAGCCATTCAAAACAGAGGTATATTTCACAAGGAGCCTATGAAAACTGAAAAACGGTTCACGTGAACGGCATAAGGAGCAGGTAGCCGCTTGATCGAATAGCGTTTCTC